GGATCCGGAAAAAAGTTTCCGCAATGCCTTTGCTTTAGTAAAAATTTGATTATTTCTTAACTAGAACATTTACTTTTAATCGATTTAAACCCCAACTATGGTTTTAAGCATTACATGTTCTCCCGAAGAGACAGCTTGATTCGAGCACCGGTAGCTCGGCACAGGTAGTTTATGTAAAATATTCTATAACTTAAAAACTACAATTCACATCTTGGCAAATGATAGCTCATTTGAAAGAGCATAAAAAAGTAGGAAATACATCAAAAATATTTAGACATACCGGGCCTCCCAGGCCAATAATTATTGAGTTTTGGATAAAATAATTTTTGATGTATTTCCTACTTTTTTATGCTCTTTCAAATGAGCTATAATTTGCCAAGATGTGAATTGTAGTTTTAAAGTTATCGAATATTTTACATAAACTACCTGTGCCGAGCTACCGGTGCTCGAATCAACCTGTCTCTTCGGGAGAACATGTAATGCTTAAAATCATAGTTGGGGTTTAAATCGATTAAAAGTAAATGTTCTAGTTAAGAAATAATCAAATTTTTACTAAAGCAAAGGCATTGCGGAAACTTTTTTCCGGATCCAATATATTTGTTTATTTTTGTAATATACTTATAAGCTATAAGTTATAATAATTATGAAATTCAAGCATATAATAAAACTTTTATAAGTTATAATTAAAGAATTAATAATATATTATCTAAATATATTAACTAGCTTACCTAAAAAACAAATACAATGCGATACCAAAAATAATGGTAGAAATCATAGACCATTTAACAAATGGTATTTCAAGCATGTTATAATTATATTTAAAATTGACTTTATTTTAAAATAAAATTATGTCTTAAATTTAACACTTAAGTTAAAGCTATTATAAATGTAAATATAATAGTACAGTACATACACTAATAAATATATTGAATTCATTTTCCACTATTTATATGATTTTAAATGAAATGAGATAAGCCATGTCATTAATGAGTAACCATGAGTTGCTAACCTTGGCTATCCCATGGCTGAGTCATCACACCTGTGCCTCACATCACATACACACCAGTCATACCTGTGTCTCACGTACAACACTAGAACTTTCGATACAAGTCGTACTGCACTCACAGATACTGGCCGTTAGCCCAGATATCCCTTATTAAAGGCATGGCATCTCTATGCCATACATAATGTGATGCACGTTATCGGTCCCTTTCGACTGACCTACCTATCAATTCGCCTAAAGGCTATGTCGGAAGATTGACCGACTATCAACAGAATTTAATACCATTGCCATCATAAACTAAGCTTTCAATATAATATTGAAATGTCCTGAAATTATTTATCTAACTTTAACCACTAATGAGCTAGAGTGATTTTTATTCTTAAATTTCAAAATTAAATTCCAGTAATAGTAATAGGCAAGTACCTGGACAAAATATTAATGTCAGTCCAGTGCACAACAAGCCTGATGAGTTATAAATTAATTTTAAAGTTAATTATGTTTAACATGTTAATTAAGTTTATATGTTACGTTTTCTATCTATTTTGATTTTATAAATAAATCATCTACATATTATATCTATATTTTATGGTAAAAAGTTTTTCAAACATAGCATGTGCATATTAATTATAAAATAAATTTATTTGAAAAAACAAATTTTTAATATAATTATTTTCTAATTTAAATCTATAAATTATTCAGAGTAACATTAATTAATTACATTATTTATTATAATAATTAATTACCTCATCAAGCCATGTCTTATTCGGTATTTACCTCACAATAGTCTATCGCTTGTGAATGCCAAATACAACATTGTAGGTCTGTACCCGTTGATGTTGATTTGACCCACAATACCTATAATGTTAAAATCTTAACCACTCTATAGCGGTTCCGATCATCATATCATTGCATGTGATATATCGTTGGAATCAGCTCAATGAGTAGATCAAGAAATTATCTTCTTGAGTTGAATTAAATAGAATTATCTTCTTTGACCACGGAGGAATATTAGCTGATCCAGATTAAGAAGTTAATTTCTTAACCTACTCATTGAGCTGATTCCAACCATATATCACATACAATGATTCGATGGTCGGAACCATTAATATTTTAATATTTTAGGTATTGTAGGTAAAATCATAGACAACCGTCTGTACCAAACTAGATATAAGTAGATATCTATTCCAATTACAAAATAAATTACTGTATAATATCATGAAAAAGTTTATTTTGAACGGTTCAATGTGCCTATCAATGCAGACTGTAATCATTGCTCATATTGCTATACTAGTGTGACCAGATATTTTTTCAATATTTTGTTTAAAACTGGACAATACTATCCATTACATTGTAATATATCAATTACAAAACTGGACACTATGTGCAAAAACTGGACGTCTGGTCACACTATGCTATACTCATATTTCGTTATGTCTAATAAAAATTAACGTAATTTAATTAATAAATAAAGATTTTATTAATAATATTAATGATCATAATTATTTCATTTAACTTTAATTATTTTCTAGATACAATAAATTTTTAAGACTTATTTGTTTCAATATTTATTGCTTATCAGTTAAAAGGAGTTAAAAAAATAAAATTAAGAAAATTTTCCAATCGTTTTCGGGTCAACACTGTGGCCATCATTTGAGGCTAAGATGTTATGAGAGGTAATAGAAATGATTGTCGTTTGAACTGATGTTTTGAAAATAAATTTTTATATATTTCCATTTACCCTGTTTCACGCCCTATAGTGCGCCCCCACCGTATAGTGCGCTTTTAATTTTTACAAAAACTTATGTTTTATCCACAGATAGTGCGCATATATTATAACATAGATTTATAGACAGGTCTTAACTTAGAATAGAAATTAACATACGATAGATTTTTTGATTATCAAATGATTATCTGAGATATTTGAGAGTTGACAAACTGTCTCAACTGGAAAGTACTTTGTTTAAAGTAATATTTATAAAATTAGTAGTAAAATACGTAAATAGATGTGAAATTAAACTACTGTTAATTATTATTTTCACTTTAATTTGTACACCATTAGTAAAATTAGTGATAATTGTTTATTTTGCATGTATAATTAATGACTATACTAGCTTAATTTTTAAAACTAAATTTAAAATTATTATAAAAAAATTTTCTGAAAATTATATAATATTCTCAGATTATGCGCCCCATTACTTTTTCCCAAAAAATCACTTTTTTCCTCAGATAGTGCGCGCACTATACGACGTGAAACAGGGTATTTTGAACGAAATTCATTAATAACTCAAATTGAAACTTTAAAATTTGACTTTTTCAAATAAACTATTTTCTTAATGTGTATATCCGGTTATTATGTACGATCAAGTGCAGCAAGGTTATTATTATGTTTAATATGTTTGTCACGACACACAGGTTTAATTAAAAGGATCTTTAGTAATATATGCATCTAAATTTGGGCACAACATGTACTTGTTGTCAAGCAAATTGATTTTGCCTGTCATTGCCTATTGCCTACCGATTTGGGGAACATTCTATTGTTTAACAATTAGGGTTGTTGGTCAATTTAATTTGGCTTATTCAATGATAGTTATTGACCAGTAACATAGCCAATACTATATTGTTAAGTTAAATAGCTAATTGAATTTGATTATCTGCTTTGCTCAATAAAAGTTAACAAATACATTTAAATGTTAAATTATATAAAACATAGTGATGATAAGTCTGAATATTGAAAATAAAAGATCTAATCACTGAATAAGATAAAGGTTTATTAATGTTTACTTCAATAATTAGTTTTTATTTTGTATTATTGTTGTAAAGTTTAAAATAGTAATTTTATATTATTAATTTTAATTAATAAACATGTTGATAGGTTGGTGCAGAACAAACTCTAGAAAATGCATTTCAAGCTGTAATTGTAGCGCATACTGTATGTTAATGTGTGTTAGTGCCACAATTACAGAAATAATATATCAAAAATAAGGCTAAAATTATATAGATGTGAATTAAAAGGTCTTTATTAAAATGTCCTTGAATTCTTTTTATTATTTTGTTATTCTCTTGATGATTATTAGTACTATAAACTGTAGTAAAATAACATTTTATTTTGGCAACCCTGAATTTCGTAGGTGCATTCATATTTGTATCCGCTTTCAAATGCATCAAACTTATGTATTATAACTAGTATATATTCGTAAAGTCATCTGAGATAGGCAGTTTTTCTAATGGTATGACTTTCAGTAGAAATCGTATAAATACCACAAACAAGATATTCAACGATTTAATTATTGAATAGAAAATAAAAGGGTTTGACTTTAATTTTCTTTCAAACTTTAAGTAACATTATTTTAAATTAAAATAACATCAAGTAAAATTCTATTTAAAAATGTTTTCAACATGTCAAATAATATTTGAAATATCACTAATAAAATGGTCGCTGATTTCTACTGCGATTTTTGGAATCACATTGTTTTTGATTTCCAGGTAATCTAGCTTAATATTTTATTACATTAATTACTGTATCCATTGGATATATTTTATAAAAATAATTTTTTGACAGATATATTGACGGGAAGTGTGACTATTGGCGCAAACAAGGCGTACGGACAGCGAGTGTCAGTCTATGGACACGACTCACGAAACAGTGGTTCGATTGGGAACGGGATCACTCATTAATCCTTACAGTTAGAATAATAATTTTTTTATTATTTGTCATTATTAACTTCATATATTTTTTGGTAATACCAAAAATTCTTAATTTAAATAAAAATTTTTAGTTTGACATTGTCTTGGGGCACAACATGTGCTTGTTGTCAAGCAAATTGATTTTGCCTGTCATTACCTACCGATTTGGGGAACATTCTATTGTTTGTCAATTAGGGTTGTTATTAGGGTTGTAGGTCAATTTAATTAGGCTTATTCAATGATAGTTATTGACCAGTAACATAGCCAATACTATATTGTTAAATTAAATAGCTACTTGAATTTGATTATCTGCTTTGCTCAATCAAAGTTAACAGATACATTTAAATGTTAAATTATATAAAACATAGTAATAAGTCTGAATATTTAAAATAAATGATCTAATCACTGAATAAGATAAAGGTTTATTAATGTTTACTTTAATAATTAGTTTTTATTTTGTATTATTGTTGTAAAGTTTAAAATAGTAATTTTATATTATTAATTTTAATTAATAAACATTTTGATAGGTCGGTGCAGAATAAACTCTAGAAAATGCATTTCAAGCTGTAATTGTAGACATACTATATGTTAATGTGTGTTAAATTACCATTCTTTTATTGTAAGTCAAATCAAAGTAGGTCAAATCACAGACAAACGGTATTTGTAATGATAATGGTCAATAATTATAAATTAATAAGTTAAATTGACCAACAACCTTACACTACAGACAAAACAATTTCGTAATAACATCCAATGATAGACAGAATCAATTTTAACGAAATCATGCATAGTAACCAACAAATTGAGGTAGGGTTGCCAATCCTCAAAGTTTGCCCGGTAATAATGCATCTTTCCCGTCTTACGGTTGACTGTCAACCTACACATTAGTTTATTTAAATTATATGTTAAATTATTAAAATTTTACGGTTATATGTGAAACCTTAATTGTGTATATTTTTGAATAAAAATGATGATTATAGTTAATTGCAATAAATATTTTACTTTTATCATAACAACTTCAGTAAATCAAATTCAGATTAAATCTTATTTAATGAATGTAAGTTAAGTAAAAAAGGCCAAAATCATATAGATATGAATCTAAATGTTTTTATAAAAATCTCCTTGAATTCTCGTAATTATTATTAGTACTGTAAACTATTGAAAAATAACATTTTGATTTGGCAACTCTGAATTTTGTAGGTGCCTTCATATTTGTTTATTTGTATATAAGTGCATCAAATATGTGTATTATAACTAGTATATACTCCTAAAGTCATCTGAGATAGGCACTTTCTAATCGTATGACTTTCAGTAGAAATCGTATAAATACCACAAACAGGATATTCAGATCAACCATTCAATTATTGAATAGAAAATAACAAGTTTTCACTTTACTTTGCTTTCAAACTTTAAGTAATATTATTTTAAATTAAAATAACATCTATTAAAATATTATTTAAAAATGTTTTCGACATTTCAAACCATATTTGAAATATCACTAATAAAATGGTCACTCATTTCTACAGCTATTTTTGGAATCACATTGTTTTTGATTTCCAGGTAATCTAACAATATTTTATTACATTAATTACTGAATCTATTGGATATACTTTATAAAAATAATTATTTGACAGATATATTGACGGGAAGTGTGACTATTGGCGCAAACAAGGCGTACGGACAGCGAGTGTCAGTCTATGGACACGACTCACGAAACAGTGGTTCGATTGGGAACGGGATCTCTACGTCCGTAACGGCAAGTGTTTCGGTGTCTATGAGTTGGGAAAACCGGAATAGTTTTAAATTTTAATTTAACATAAATTTCGCCCAAAATATCGGTGAACGCAATGATAGAGAAGCCAAACCATAGGCTTATAATACTCGCCGTTAGACTCAAGTACTCCTCGAAAGACATTTTCAACGATATCTCATACATAGTTAACTGATTCCTGAACATATCGGCGAATAAATATAATCCTCGTGAAATATTATCAAATCTACCGCTAGCTGTATCAAGGTGATAGAAATGTTGCGTAAAATCGACGCGATTGTCAAATTGTTTAATACAATTATAATGACTTAGGCCATCGGGTTTATCACCAAAACTTAAGTTGTATAAATTTGTATTACTGTACGTGGTGTCATTTTTGTATATTAGATATTTGCTTGATACAAAATTTTTATTTCTCAACCAATACGATCGTTTTATGCACTTGTTTGAAGCCTCTAACTTATCTAGGCCATTGTTCACGCAATACCCAAATGCATCAGGAACATTGTAATGTACAATTGAATGCTTATATAAAATATTGTACCAAGCTGGCTCGATGTTTATGCGTCGAGAATCGCCGTACCTGTTCAAGGTGAATTCAAGTCGATGTTTAGGCGATTTAATAAACAGATTTAAAGTACCAGTGTCATTTTGTTCTAGTCGCATTAGAACATGTATGAACATTACACGCTCAATGTCATTTGACTTAATTAAACTATTTGTAAAGTTTAAACTAGCTAAATTTAACGCAAAACAATAGTTTAACCTGTCAATTGAGTGTTGATAAAAGTTACTTGCTGTTAGCTTAACGCGACCACCTTTGTTACTTTGAACAGAAATTTTAAATAAATAAGTAGGGTCATGTAGTGATTCTAATTGTTTGCCAATTGATAGCTTATTAAACATATCTATTAGGTTGCTTTTAATATTGCCATTTGTATATAATTGACTTTTAATATTGGACTTGATGAAATAATGTTTAGACAAGCAATAGGTGAATGTGATTGGTGATAATTCGTGATCAACGGGTAGGTATCGGACATTAGTAGTAGTTTCGTACGAAAAGTATAATAAACTAATTTTGTACGTTTGATACACACATCTGCACATACAAAACAAGTACGACAATATTTTATATAAATATTTATACGACATAATTTTCATAATTATTATTTAAAATTGTAAAAACAACTTCACTAACTATTATAAAATTTTGTAAAATACTAAAACTATGATTTTAGTCTACAATATGTTAATGTATGATATTTTTGCGATAAACTAATCAATAGTATTTTTACATGAAAACATATTTTAGATGTATTTGATATTTATTATTAATAAGTACTCTACTAATTTATAAGTGTTGTTATTATTATATCAAACACACTTAAATTATAAGTTCAAACAAATAATAAGAATAAAATTTTATAAGGTATTTATGTAAAATTAAATAATTTTTAAAATGTCTGGACAAACTTTGCTTAACTGTTCCAGTATTTGTTAAGTTTGACCCTGTCCCATTTTTATCTACTAGGATTATGGTTAGGGATTTGTAGACACTAATTAAATTGAAATTTTAATTTTAAAAATTTTAAACCATTTTAATTATTTTTAATCACTTACCAGCATAGACTGAGAATTAGCATGGAAATTTGCTTGTACACCTCCTTTAATGGGAGCTTGACTATTAATTTTACTAAATGATACTAGTGTAATTAATACAGAAATTGCTATGCTGTGATTATTTACTAGAAATGTGTTTATTTATACCGACATTTTTTTACACTATTTATTAATTAAAACTGGTGGCTAGATTATAAAAATAAATTTTCATTATGTACAATTCTAATGAGTAGGCAATTACTGTACTATTACTAAATTACTATTACTGTATAATAAATCAGAATACTATTTTATTAAATTTTAATTAAATCTTAATAACAATTTAACAATATAAATAATTTAAAAAGTCAATAAAACTAGTATAATAAAATATTAAAATTGTAAATTATTAATTGCTTAAATTTACCCTGTCATATTTATTTATAATTACTGTATTTTCAAAACACTTTTGTAAACATATGCCAATATATTAGTATTATATTTAAATTATTAATAATAATAATTTAAAAATTAATCGCGGTAATGTTGGTTTAAAATTTCCAAGAAGTTTTGAAAATATTTACAAATAATTAATTAAAATCAACATGATCATTTTACAAATTATGTTCGTTTCTCAATTCTCAAATCCACTGATTTTGGTATAACTAAAAAACCGCCAACACCTTGCTCCAATCGTTTCTGAAAATATAAACATTGTCAATTGCCAAGAATTAAAGAAAACTACTTATTAAAGTGTATATAAATGTAAAATATAATACCCCTGTTGCATGAAAAACATATCGATGAACCAGATTGATCAGGGCTAATTTAATCTCCAACTGAGCCAATCGCATGCCCAGACAGTTTCGAGGACCGGCACCAAATGGCAAATACGTATAGGGATTGTGGGCTATATTTTCCGCTAAAAACCTTTCCGGTCTAAACACTTCCGGGTCAGCAAAGTGTTCCGGGTCCCTGTGTATGGCATAGATAGGGATGTGCACCACGTGATCCTTTTTGATGGTAATACCGGTGCCCTTAAGCTCGTAGTCCTCATTGGCAGCCCTGTCCAGAAATATGACGCCCGCATATAGCCGTAGGGTTTCATCGATAACTGCGTCCATGTATTTCAATGCGTAAAACGCTTCGTACGGATCGGCATTTGATTTCTGTTTAATTTTTATGAAAATTTTTAAAAATTAATTTTTATATTAGGATTTAAATTATAAATAATATGATATTTTTAAACTTTTTAACTAAATTGTAAATAAATGTAAAAACTGCAAATTTCAATTTGATATGCATGAAAATATTCTAATCATAATAAATTTGATTAGAACTGCTACCTAAAATATCTCTGAATTATTTTCAGGGTTATTAAATGCACTAGTTATTTTTATTTATTTCTGTTCATTAATCTATTGTATTCAAAGCGTAACTAAATATTATTAGTATTTAATATAAAAAATTATGGCATATATAACTTTAAAATAATATATTTAAACCTGGTGTTCATGAAATTTATTAATTTCTTCGTACAGTTTTTGTTGGACTTCTGGATGTTTAGCAATACTATACAAACACATGGATAGAGTGGTTGCAGTACTCTCATACCCGGCCACTAAAAACACCAAACATTGGGCTATGAGCTCATCGTATGAAAGGCCTATAAATATGTATAAAACCGTATTCATTATACTTTATCCAATAAATTGTGAAATAATTTTATAATCATTTAAAAGCTATTTAATACTTACTCTTATCGGTCATATCATGCGTGACCTGTATTTCTCGATATTTCTCTGCACTCTTACTATCCGTATATTCTTCGGACCCATCGATCGCCTCATTATTATTATCTCTCTTTGAATCCAACATTAGTTGCAAAAAGTCAACCCTTTTTACAGGACTTCCGGTTTCCAAAAGGCGTTTCCTATCGTCGATCAAATTAAGAGTAAAATCGCGGAAAAATGTTGTAGCTTTACTATTAAACATAGTTATCTTGAACATTTTAGCAACATTTGGTGCTATCATTACTGTGAACATTCGCATCAAAGCCAACAAACTTGTGCTGAATATTTTGCGCGCATTTTTTATGATAGGGTTATTTGGGTCGACCAGAGCCGACACTTTCCGCCCGAACGCCACTTGTATTATAGACTCCATAACATAGGCTCCGGTAATCCGATTCATGTCTACCGGTGCCGTGAGTTTGCCATTACTTTCGGCAATAATTTTGTCGATGTTGTCGTTCATAGTGTCCACGCATTCCAGTATTAAAGAAGTCATTCGTTTGAGTTTTCCGGTCGTAAATGTGGGCGACATTACTGAACGGATCCGTTTCCACTCGGAATCCCTTTTAGAGCCAACCATGTGTTCAAATATAGGATTACCGCCCGTGCGTAACTCCTAATTTGTATAATTTTATTGTATTAGAATAACAATAGTTTAGTTTTTTTCTTAAATATTTACATATAAGACTTTTGTTTGTAATATAATTTAATACAAGCTGTAAATAATTTATTTTAATTATATAAAATACCAATTATTTTCATTTTTAAATTTTGGCTCATTTACATCTCAATTCCTTTTCAATGATTTTTTACACTTTTATAATTTCAACGCATTTATCTGATATTAAAAATAAGTTATTAAAAAACATTTAACTTGAAAGTGTTCAAATAAAATTTATTTGTGAACATAATCAATCCCTTTATATATTTGAATGAGTAAGTGAGTGAGTGTGTGTTTCGGTGTCTATGAGTTGGGAAAACCGTTTCTCTATCTCTCGGATCCGGAACTCATTCGCGAGGTTTTGGTCAAAGACTTCCATATGTTTACTAACAGACGGGTAAGTCATGTGTC